GTAGGTATTGGATCTGTGAGATTCATGCTCCATGATGAGTCAATAAGGTTATTGACTGAAGTTAGGTATGTACCTGACTTGAAGAGAAATTTGATTTCTCTTGGTGAATTCGACAGGAAAGGATATGTTTTTCAAGGAGAGAAAAGTATCCTAAGAGTCTTGAACGGGTCGAAGGAAGTCTTGAGAGGCGTGAAGAAACAAGGCTTGTATACCCTTGAGGCTGAAGTTGTAAGTGATTTGAAAAATATTACATCCACGAAACCGTTTTTGAAAACAGAAATTTGGCATATGAAATTGGGTCATGCCAGTGAAAGGGGTCTGGTCAAATTAGGGAAACAAAATCTACTTGGAGGAGAAAAAATCAAAAAGCTGAAATTTTGTGAATCACGTGTACTTGGAAAATATTGCAGAGTGAAGTTCAACAAAGGCAAACAAAGAACTCATGGATGCCTTGTTTACATCCATGTTGATCTTTGGGGACCTGCAAGGTGTCCATCACATTCAGGAGCAAGGTATGTTCTATCCATAGTTGATGATTATTCTAAGAAGTTATGGGTATTCATCTAGAAGACTAAGGATGAAACTTTTGAGAATTTCAAAGTTTGGGAGACTCTGGTCGAAATTCAGACTGGCAGAAAGGTCAAGAGGTTGAGAATCGACAACGGGCTTGAATTTTGCAATGAGGCGTTTGATAGTTTTTGTGTTGCCTAAGGTATTACAAGGTACAAAACTACTGCAGGGACTCCACAAAAAATGGTTTGGTAGAAAGGTTTAATAAACTATTTCAGAAAGAGCTAGGTGTGTGTTGACTAGTGTTGTGTTAAAGAAGGTGTTTTGGGCTGAGGTTGTTTGTACAACAACATATATGATAAACATATGTCCTTTGATTGCGTTAGATATGAAGACACCTGAAGAAGTTTGGTCGGGATATCCACCTAGTCTCGACAAACTGAGAGTATTTGGTTGCGAGGCCTATGTTCACATTAGGCAAGACAAGGTCGAACCTAGAGCCCTGAAATGCATGTTCATGAGATACCCTGAAGGAGTCAAATCTTATAGGTTATGGTTCCTAGAGACAGGTCACAGGAGGTGTATCACCAGTCGAGATGTAGTTTTCAATGAAGCAGAGATGGCTTTCAAGAAAACTGATGATGCTGACGAAGAGCTGGAACAAGGAGAGATTTTTGTTGAGGTGGAGCATGTTGATGCTGAATTGCGACCCAAGATGAAGTCGAAGAAAAAGCAGAAGCCGATGTTGAAGATGAGGAGACTGATAATGACTACCTGCTAGCAAGAGACACGTCGAGAAGATTCATCAAGTCACCTCAGATACTTGGGTATGCATATCTTATAGCTTATGTCTTAATCTCTGCAAGTGAGGTTCTCGATGAAGAACTTAGAAAATATAAGGAAGTTATGAAGAGTCAAAAGAAGACTGAATGGCTTAAGACCATGGATGATGAGATGAAATCTCTTCATGATAATAACACTTGAGAATTGATCAAGAAAACTGCTGGAGCCAGGTTAGTCAGTTGTAAATGGATTTTCAAAGTTAAATAAGGAATCGAAGGAGTGGTGTTGAAAATATAAAAGGTAAGATTGGTCGCTAGGGGTTTCACTCAGAAAGAAGGTGTCGACTTTAATGATGTGTTCTCTTCTATTGTGAAGTACAAATCCATTAGAATGTTGCTTGCCGCATTGGCACAATTCGACCTTGAACTGGAACAGATGGATGTGAAGAATGCTTTCTTGTATATGGTTATCTAGATGAAGCAATCCTGATGAGGAAACTTGAAGGGTATGTCGAAAAGGGGAAGGAATATTATGTGTTCAAGCTGAAGAGATCTTTATACGGACTGAAACAATCTCCTCGATAGGGAAATAGGAGATTCGACAAGTACATGGCATGCATAAGTTTCATAAGAAGTCAGTTCGACCATTGTGTTTACTTCATATTTCGACTTGGTAATTCATTTGTTATTTTGTTGCTTTGTGTAGATGATATCCTAATAGCAAGGAACAATGTCGAAGATGTAATAAGGGTGAAGGATGAACTCAATAAGGAGTTCGACATGAAGGATTAGGGAGTTGCGTCCAAGATTCTTGGGATTGACATTCAAAAAGATAGAAAGCATTCAAAATTATGCTTATCTCAAGAGGCATACCTACAGAAGATTCTTGAAAATTTTGGTAGGTCAAATTCAAGGCCTGTTGTGACTCCGGCAAACCCTCAATTCAAGGTGAGTATAGATCAGTGTCCCATTGCTGACGTTGAAAGAGCTTATATGAATAGCATTCCATATGTTCATATATTGGGTTCTTTGATGTATGTTATGGTCTGTACTAGACCCGACATAGCATATGCAGTAAGTCTTGTAAGCAGGTACATGGTGAATCCTGGAAAGGCTCGCTGACAAACATAGAAGTGAATTCTAAGGTACACAAATGGGTATCTGAACAGAGTCCTAATTTATGATGGAGCCTTGGGTGAAGATAATAAAGCAGCAATCGAAGGATATGTTGACTCAGATTATGTCGGTTGTATGGATTCTAGAAAATCTATTTCTGGATATGTGTTCACTATATTTGGCACAACAATCAGTTGTAAAGCAACACTTCAGAAGGTTGTTGCCTTATCAACCACTAAAGCGGAATATATCTCCCTAACTGAAGCTGTGAAAGAAGCATTGTGGCTTGAAGGTTTTCCAAAGGTGCTGAAACTTCAAGATCGAGTTGTCACTATTAAATGTGATAGTCAAAGTGCAATATACCTGTCGAAGAATTCAGCCTATCATGAGCGAGCATGGAGAAGTTCAAGTGCTGAAGGTTTCGACAGATCATAATACTGCTGATATGATCACCAAGACGTTTCCTAGTTGCAAGTTTTTCCACTGTATGCAGTTGATAAATCTGCATGAAGAAATCTAGTTTGTTTCTTGATGGTAGAGTTAGATCCAAGGTGGAGATTTGTGAGATATTGGATCGAACTCTAGTTAACATGTCGTCGAAGGTTGCTCACATGTTGTTGTCGAAGACCTACATGCTGTAGTCGAATTGTGTTCTAGTATGTAGTTATTGAATTAGGCCTTGTGTTAAGGATCTAATTATTTAAGTTAGCTTGTACTCTAAGTTAACTTGTAATGAGTAATTGTTAAAAAGCTCATTAGTTTAGTATGTTAAGTTTTATTATAAATAACATACTAATCTCTCATCTTAAGTGTGGTATGACAAAATCTAATTAGGGTGAGAGAGTTATTTGTTATTCTTGAGTACTTGTAATCATTTTTTAAAGAGAAAGTAAAGAATAACAGTTATAACCAATCTTTGTTGTTCTCCCTGTTTTTTCTTAACCCTAACCCTTGTGTATTTCTTGCCTATAAAAAAATCGAGTATATTTTATTTTAGGGCATCTTAGTTTTCAACAGTAGCGCTAAAGACAATCTTTTAATTATGAATGTGGCTATTATGTTAAGATCCATATGTTAAACATTGTGTTTGTTGGGATTGTTAGTTCATGGAATTGGGTATGTAATAGAAAATTTCAATTATGTGTTAACTGTCTTCTTTAATATTAATACAACATTCTAATATTATTTAATATTTATTTAGATATTTGGAGACTCAACACGAGTTCATAGTATGTTTAGCTTTGTTTAGACTAACTAATATTTTGATAGTACCATAGTTTGGTTTTGACCAGAGGTATTTAGTTCCATGATAGTGTTTGTAACATAGTATTATGAATATTTTAAAATCGACGGAATTTATTTAAAACTTTGTTTTATGAAATTTTGTATTAATGGTTGCATATGAAATATTTAATTAGTATTTGATTGCGATGGAATTTTTTACTTTTTATTTTTTATTTTTACAATATTGTGATAAAAACAAGAATAAAAAAATGACAATTACTAAACCAAATGACATTGTGCTTTTTAATTGGATGAATCAATTTAAAATAACATTCCTAAATCAAGTGAACCAATTTAAATTTGCGATTTTAAATCGGACCGTATAGATTTAAAAACTTTCATTACTTTTTGAACATTTTTTAAATAAATATTTTGACCCTTTTTTAAACAAACATTTTGAAATTAAACTAGCCGATTTAATAAAATATTTTAAATCAGATCAAACTTAATTTAAATATAAAAAACTTTATAAATTGATCGCAATGAAATCAGAAAACCAACCGATTTAAAATGTCATATTTAACCGATTTAAATAGTGTTTTTTACTAGTATTTCATGCTTAAAATATTTCTATTTTGACCATTTTATCAGAAAATATACTAATCTATCTTTTTGAACGAACAATGTTATTCAGTGCCAACATTATCTCCTTGCTTAAATCATTTAAGAATTTGTTATTCACATTCAAATAAACATTAAAACTCTAAAAGACACACACACAATAATGATGATATACAACAAAACTCCAAAAACACCAACTAATTAATTTTTTCACATATCTATCTTTCAATTACTAATAGATAATGATATACAACAAACTCTAAAACAACAAATAATTTTCCTTAAAATAGAAAATTAACACTAGGTAATCCTAAACTTTTGTTAAATATTAATATTCATCAAAACTTCCACTTATTAATAGATAATGATAATACAACAATACTCCATAACACCAAATAATTTTTACACATATCTATCTTGTAGTTATTAATAAATAATGATATACAACAAAACTCCAAAACACCAATTTTTTTTTTTTATAAAAAGAAAATTAACACTAAAATTTTGCTCAACAGAAATAGCCATCAAAACTTTCAAGAAACAATTATTTTCTCCTAAAAATAAACACCGAAATTTAAGCTATCTACATTAAAATTAGTATGGCTCACAAGCTACAAGGGGCTTATGTAGTGTATATATAATTCTCATTATTAACAAAATAATAATCAGGAAGAAGGAAAAGGTATACAATTACCAACAACAACAAAGCAACTAGTTTTACATTTTAAAATTGAATTAGAAACAAAAATGTCAAACAAATTAGTTGCATTGTTGTTGTTGGTGTGTGTTGTAACTGCTCAAGGTGGAAAATTGATGACTCCAGAAGCATGCTACAATTATTGCTACAAATCCATGATGTACCCGAAAGCCATTGCCGATCCTATATGTAAATATCGATGTCGATTCCCCATGTATGAAAACAACCGTAAGTTTCACTTCATCATTTTCGTATATGATTGCTAAATCTATCTATGTTCTTAGTTTTGATGTTGATGATCTTATTTAAGCTTTTGTTGAAAATATTTTCTGTGGCAGCTAAGGCTGTGATAACAGGAGCAGCCTTAAATGTAAGGAAGGCTGGTCAACTTTCAGCTCCACCAAGTTCTCCGATCCCAGCAGCCAAAATACACTGAGAAATGGAAATTTTGTGATCGAATATGAAATAGCATGATAAGCAAAGAGAATTCAAGAAATGTACTATTCTTTCTCATGAATCAATCTGTTATCATCATTTCATGTTGATCCCCATCCCTTTTTCTCTTCCTGATTTTATTATTGTTAAGAGTCTTGTATTAGATAGTATATGGTTAGATCATGTCTTTATAAGTTAAAGACAACTCTTACCGTATATTTATATTTTAGTTTTATATTATATTTTTCTTATTTGTCTTCTATTTTTTTTAATCTTTTTATTGTCAGAATTTAAAATTTTAAATATGTTTTAATTTTTTTAAAGATAAATAATAATTATATATAATGAAAAAAGGAATGAACCCAAAAGAGTATATATGCGTAAAAACGACATAAGAAATACCAAAATAACGTTTGAGAATCTTAAAATACAAGCTAAAGAAGACGATACAAAAGCAACTAAAATCACCACGAGTCAAACTTCTAAGTAAGTCATTGTTCGACAAAAAGGACATGACACTTAGTTAAAATAAGGGTACATGGTGTCATGTGCGTCAAGATCAGCTTCGACCATAAATGTCGAGTTCAACTCATTTGGCGGAGAGTTTTTGACTTAGTATTTTTTCAAATATTGAGATTGCTTCTCCTCAAAATTTGACAGTAGGGCTGGAAATGAGTCGAGTCGAGTCGAACTCACCTCAGCTCGGCTCGACTCGTTAAGAATTGTTCGAATTCGAGTTTGAGTTCGAGTTTGACACGAACTTTTTTTTAAGCTCAAACTCGACTCGTTATAAGTTCACGAACAGTTCGGTTCGACTCGTTAGGTTCATCTCATTAGGTTCAGCTCACATGGTTCACGAACTTAAAAACTATTTTTTTTAAATATATATATTTTTTAGTATATTTGACATTTTAAATAAATATATATATTTTAAATAAAATATTAAAATAAAATAAAAGTTATCATATTGAAATTTAACTTTATCTTCGAAATCTACTAATTCAAAACCTACACAACTTTCAAGAGATACATTTGAGAGTCTAATTCAAAAACTACTAAATTGAAGATTAAATTTGTCTAAGATTTGAAGTAAATATTTAAACCTAATCTTAAAGACAGTATAATTTTTTTCATATGTAATCGAGTTGACTCATGAACCTAACGAGTCGAACTATGTATAGTTCAAGTTCAGCTCATTTAGTTAATGAACTTAATTTTTCGCTCATACTCAACTCATTTGGTTCATGAACCTAGTTCAACGATTTAATTGTCGAGTCGAATTCCGAACTATCTTCGAGTTGGTTTGGTTCATTGTCAGCCCTATTTGACAGGTTAAATCCTCAGTGTGATGGTTGAGGCAAAATAAAAGTATTAGATTGAATAATTAATGTTTAATCTTATCCAAATGTCGAAGATATGTGGAAACATGGCAGAAGATTGAAAACTTTGTAGAAGATTACATGTCACGTAGTATGGAAATAGTTATTGTAGACAAATTTTATCACATTAGTATATATGGTGGTTCTAGCATTACGAATCGGGTGGCAATATCATTACAAAAATCTCTATAGAATTCAAAGTACTCTAGTCAGAGCGAGAAACGGGTTTGTGAGAAAAATTAATGATTTTGTACACCAAAATTTCTTTGCGTAATTAAAGTAACTTTTATTTTTCCTTTACTTTGTTTCAAGTTTATTACTTGTCTAGTTTATTTTGGATTTTGACACAATCGAAATCAACAATCTCTTTGTTCATCCTTTTTAGTTTTGTTTAGTTTATTAAACAATCAGTTTTAACCTATAACAACAGTCGAGCAATTGTATTTTGGAGAAAATGCAAAAAAATGTCTTAGGCTTTCCTAGTTTGATACGACAGGGAATTGTTCAAAACTAAGGATTCTTTATGAAAAAACAAGCGGAAAGAAATTGGCACGCCAAGTGAGACCCTTTTGTGCATATTTTTTTCAAAATTGTTCATCTTTTGTGTTTGTTACGTTTTAAATTGTTCTTCATATGTGAAATGGTTCTAATGGTTATGTTCGTATGTGTTTGAGAAGTGGTAAAGTTTTCCCTAAAATAGTGCGTCCATTTTAAAATATCCCCTCTTCTCCTAACCCTTGAGAAGTGGTAAAGCTGGAGATAAGGTTGTTTCAACAGGAGTTAAACAACCATTCCTACACTATCATCGATAGTATCTAATGGGGCAGTTTTCCCATCACAATCAGTGAATTTTCCAATTAATTCCACGGCCATAAAACCAACTCTAGGAGCCCCTAGGCTACCTTATATTCAAGGTTTTTCATTTCCTATGGATAGTAGTGAGTATCCATATGGTATGCCACCAACGATGATGGCAAGTTTACAACTTTTTTTTATCTTTCATTAATTATCATTAAAGACATTTTGAAATCTATTTTTTTTAAAACACTATAGAGAAATTAAGGGAGATCATGTGTATCTTCCTACTCTAGGTAGATTGTTGATATATGATTTAGATAATTAAATTATACTATTTAAGTTTAATTATGGTGACATTTATACTCACTTACAACTAAGAAATAAGTTCAAGTGGTTAGCTAGTTATGAAGAAGAACGTCTCCTTAACCTTAGATAGGGTTTTGAGGACGACAAATACATCACCAAAAGAAAGAAAATAGAAAGACAACAATGAAAAAAAAAAATATAGAAGAAGACAAATGATTGATCAAAGAAAATTGGAAAAGATCTTCAAAGCTTAGGTTAAATGCCTTGATCTTTGAAATATCATGATTCAACTCTTATGTCACTTAAAAGCTCATAAACATTCCTCGAAATTTATTTACAATCTTAAACCATTATGCATAAAAATCATTGAAGTTGTGTCTTAAAATGTTGTATTTTTTTTGTTAGAAATGAAGTTGTAATCGATTACAGCATACTTGTAATCAATTAAAAGTTGTCAAATTTCAAATTTTCTACATGTTGAAATGTTGTAATCGATTACAAGCTTATTTTAATCGATTAAAACCTGAACCAATATGCTTTTTCATCAAACATGAAACATTGTTTTGAATAAACTTCTTGGAATCTTTTTAAAGATATGCAATCATTCATAGAAATTTCTAGAGTTGTATATAAAGCACTATACATTAGAAAATGAATTAACACCTTTCACATTCTCATTTACCAAATTCAAAGATCATTTATTTTCAAAATGGTTTGAAACTTTGATAACTTTCGTATACCATAAAAGTTTCAAAACCAAAATAGATTTTGAGCATTAAGTGATATATATTTGAATTATAATATTGATAAGAATCAACAATCGAAGTTTGAATGTGATTATTATGTGGCGTTCATAAGTTCTTATTTTCTCAACAAAATTAATGTAACTTGTTTCACCATAAGTTCTTATTTTCTCAACAAAATTAGTGTAACTTGTTTCACCAAAGTGTTTAGTGAAGATCATTATAATGTTTGGTGATTATGAAAAAGGCTCTTTGAGTCGGGGTGATTCAAAGTTCACCATAGAGTTTGGTGTTTATTTTATTAAAAAGACAGTGGTGTGCTTTTTTGGTTGATTGATAGATGTTTTCTTATAATGTTGTGTGTTAGACTTGTAAAGATCATTTGATCTTAGTGAAAAATTCTCTAAGAAAATATAGGAAATATATGTACCTTTAACTGTTTTTTACTTTATGAAATTTAAATTTTGCATTTTATATTTTCCTTAAGTGACATTTATATCATCGTTTCTAATACTTTAAAAAGTTTAAAAAAATTAGTTCATAAACAAGAAAAAACTAATAACTCTAATTCACCTTTCATTTCTTAGGTTGCATCTAATATTTATATTTGTCATCATAAAAAAAAATGGTAAATTGTTCCAAGATCCAAGAAACATGAAATAGTTCTAAGGAAAAAGCTCTAGTATAAATAAATCACCTTTCTTTACCAGTAATTATTACGATTTTTGTAAAATTAGAATGTTGATGTTTGTGAGTCATAAGGTGTAGAAGTTTGTAAAGATGTTAAAATGGTCCCTACATTCCTAATACAACTGTTGGCAGTGTAAATCAACCAAAACACGAAGATGCATGGGATGAAGATGATAATAATAAAGTTTTATATGATAAGAAGGCCAAAATAATTATAGGATCTGTTGATTTCGGAGTTGAAAAAATAGCGTTAGGCACAAGGAAATTATCGGGACGAGTCGCGTACTAGGTCGCTTTCTTTAAGACGTTTTGCCGTACTGCCAAAATATGCAACGCAGTCGATTTACGACGACGCCTCCAGGATAAAACAGCCCGTTCAAAATTACGATTATCAGTTGCACACTGATAAATCGCTCTAGAAATACACCTTTCTAAATTATCTGGCGAAAATAGCCAGTCCAGTATCTGGCTGTAATAGCCAGTCGAAAAAACCAAGAAAAGAAAATTGTTTAGATGAAGAGAATTAAGGGAGAGAGAGGGAAATCAAAATTCGTGTGAATTTGTGAAATCCGGAGTACACACTTCTGAATTTCTACCCTGTATTTATAGGCAGCAAACTGCACCTGAGTGGGGAGAAATTCGTGGGGAGTGGAGAAAATGGTGGGAGACTGAGAAATTCGTGGGGAGTGGAGAAAATGGCGGGAGACTGAGAAATTCGTGGAGGACTGACTGACCAATTATTTTCTTAATTAATTAATATTTATTATTAATTAATTTTCCACCGAATTATATTAATTAATTAATGATAATTAAATTATATAAATTCAGGTCCAAAAAATAATTCATCTAAACACTACTAATATTTCCATTCCCTTCAATGTGGGACTAAAATGAATCTTTTCAAATTCACTTCTATATTAGTTCTCACTTGTGTTCATTTATTGTTCATTAATTGTCAACAAATGTTTCCAATTCCCACTATAATTAATTAAAGTTCCACCATTAATTAGTTAAAGTTCCAACATTCCCCCACTTGAATTTAAAAGAGATTTTAGAAGTACGTCAGACGTTTCTCAGGTTGAGCA